TTTTCACTCTTCTGATTACTCAGCCAGAGGAGAATGGGATTAAGAGGCTTGTGTTTTTTTGTGCTTAATCAGCGAACTTGCCTCTCTAGGCTGGCACTCAGATTTGCAAGGTCATGAAATAAACCATCTAACTTTCATCACATTGAGTCTCCACTGTTTTTATTATAAAGTGATGGTCATTTCTCACTTAACCGAAGGGATTGAGCCTGCCTTAAAGATCTCCCCACAGTCTTTCAAACTGTTGGGACCAGATTTTATCACCTGTTACTCATTATCCCCAAAGCAGCAAATCTATCAGGGCCATTTCACATGGCATTATCTGTGCAGCCTGGATACTGTTCCACCTCTAGAAGCTTAAAAGGACTACTTCCGCAAGTCTCTTAGAGATCCCTGACTTCTCTTATAACAAGACCCATGGGAAGCAGACCTGTAAAGCTTCCTAGATCCCAATGAGTAGCTAGTTCTCTTTCTCTCACTGTTCTGTGTTCTGTGATATAATCTTACATGCTCTTTCCTCATATTCCCTTGATGTTCTTTTGCCAAGACTCAACTCAGTTTAGAAAACTCATACAAGACTTTTTTTCCTTTAGCGATTTCTATGTATGTATGTATGTATGTATGTATGTATGTATGTATGTATGTATGTATGTATGTAGGTATGTATGTGTTTTATGTGTGTGAATGATACATGTGTATATGAGTGCAGGCATGCATGGGTGGAGGTCGGAGAACAATTTCAAGAGTCAGTTCTCTCCTTGTTTGTGCTTACAGAAAATTAAAGTCAGGTTTACAGGTTTGCATGGCAAGAAATTTTTCCTGCAGAGCCATCTTGTGGTCCTTATGGAAATTTCTTCAAGTATTCTTGGACTGAAGTTATCACGTTGACTCATTCCTCATTGTGCACTCCTCACTGTACTCCTATAAGGAGCAGAGGGTTTCTTCTAATCTTCACAACCATATACTTACTTGCCCCCCTAAAATCATCATATGGTGGCACTTTTAACCACTGTTACTTTTATTACCCATTCCTATTCCCAGACCCCACAGTCATTTTTCCTTATCACCTTTTCCAAAAGGTTCATGATCTCCTCTAGTAATACAACTCAACTGTTGCAAAGGATTTCTGGCTTTGCCTGACCATAACTCCTAACTAGATTATCAATTCTTACCCAGTCACTCCATTTACATGAACACAACTGATCATCTCCCTCCTCCATTTCTAATTAAATCTGTATCTTGCGGGACACCTTTCAACACTCTTATGACTGGATGTGAACACAAATGTACCTTCCTCACATCCTTTTTCCATCAGATTGCCTCTTAAGCCAGATTTCCATCTTTGTTATGGCTACAGGAAAAAGTCTATTCCTGTAAGCATCCTTTCATCACGTGACTTCACTCTCCTGTTAGACAGGACAAAAAGACAAAACAACATACTCCCAAATCCAAGAAAATGTACAGCTCTCGCAGGCATGCGTTCTCAATCACTTCAGACAAAACTCAAAATAAAAACTATCCATTCCATCAAGTTAGCCACTTAGGTCATCCCATTCTGTCTCTTTGACAAGATTCTGACTCTTCTCAGGAAGCCGTTCATGTTTCCACTCTCTCCGATGACCGATAGTTGGCCCAAATTGATCTACCCAAGTTCTATCAGTATTAAAAAAATATAGCAAACATTCTCATTACTTTGACATAAAATTACTCAGCTTCAGTTCTTATCCGGAATAGTCTTGGCTTGCCACAATTCCTTTTATGCCTCAACTTACTCCTTTTACACTTACTTTTCTATCTAGTTATCAGCATGCACCTTATTTCCTCAGCAGCCTCCTTCCTATGTAGAACTAAGCTCTCTTGTTGTCTTCTGACTAATTCATCTGATACCCGTACCAATGCCTTTACTGCTCCTGATATACAAGTTGCTCTTTTCATCTAGCTCCTCCCAGTACCATCTTTCAGGATCTCTTGACCTAGAAGAGCTTTTCAGCTGATACTCTTCCTAGTGGGATGAGCCATGATGGCAGGCATAGGTACCAGAATAAGAGAACTTACATTGGCTCCTTATGCTTATCATACTTGCTGGCCAAAATAATCTAGAGGAGTAGAACACATCTCAGTAGCCCTAAAATCCCTTCAGGACCAATTTAATTTTCTAAAGGCTTCATTTGGAAAGTTAAACTGGTAGGATTTTATTTTATTTTTTTTTACAGTACTTCAAGAATTACCTGCCTGGTTCTGGAACAGAAATGTTATGTATGTGATAATTAAGTAGGGATAGTATAGGATGTAGTTATAAGACTAAAAGAACAGGCATGTAATTAAAGGGAGAGAGCCTCTGATGGATGGCTCCTATGGAAGGACACAAGGGGCTGACTTGCTTTTCTCTCCTGGGCTCACTCACAGACATAATGCCACCTCCCTCATCTTTTCTTGCTTAACCGTCTAGTATAATTGGTATTTTCCAGAATGAAGGTCATTAACTTCCCAAGATACTGTTGCAGGGCCATTCCCATTCTCATTCCTATTACCACTGACATCAGTGCCTGTCTTCCTCCATCAAGGACTTCGCAGTCTCCAACTTGATGTTAGTTAGGCCTTCAACCACTTGAAATTGTCATTCCCCCTTCTCCTCCAAAGTGCTTCTTAAGGTTTCTATGTTTTGCCCACAGTCTTCAAACAGTATGATATATCAGCAACATTAATAAATCCCCTTTGACAACCCTTCTGAGCTCTGGACATGATACTTGCCCCTTCTCAATGACATGACTCTGCTGGTCTGTCAGTGAGCAAATTTAAAGATAAAAGGCTAAAAATAAAAGCAATACCCCTATTTTAACCATTAGCCTCTCACTACTTGGAATCCAACCAAAGTGCCTTGTGAAGCCTCATGTAAACATTTAAAGCCCAATAAATCTTTTTTGGAGACAGAGTCTCTCTATGTAACCCTGGCTGTCCTGGAACTCTCTATGTGGACAAGTCTAGCCTTGTAGATCCTGGTAGATACTCCTAGGCTCTACTTCTGCCTCCTGAGTGCTGGGATTAAAGGTATACGACTACACCGTGTTTTAAAGTCTAAAAAGTGTTCAAGATCCATGGTGCCTTATCCCAAATGAGCAAACCCACAACAAGTGGTACTGTGCAATTTACTACTTAACAAGCTAGGGAGGGGCTTACTCATGTATGCAAATACAGATCGATACAAATGGCACATGAAGCCGCACTAAATAACTTTCCTTACCTGTATAAAAGAACCCTATTCCCTTCTAGGGGTTGATTTTCTCTGTTACAAATTGCTCACTGTGTTTCTATTTCTGAAGATTTAATCAATCTTTTCTGCATCTGTTCTTGCCTGGTCTGGACATTTACTGGACTTCTGGCTTGTTACTGTCATTCCTGGCACAGCAGCAGATCAAAACCACTTTAGAATATAAAAATTTGCGTAAAACAAAACATCTTAATTTAAAAGAGTTAGTAATAAGACTGAAAATAAAGCAATACACTCTATTGTTGAACTGAAATTGAGATCATTTTTGTATATATACGTAACAAAATATGGTTGTATAATTTAAATACTTATATAAAATACTTATACAAACTTTATATGTGTGTCCTCTTTCTTGAACATTATTATTACTATGCATATAGTGCAATGATGGTACATGCTAGTCATTAAAGAAATACTTGTTGGAAATGTGAATACATGAGCTGTCTGAAGGAACCATCTGTAGAACACTCTAAAATTGATCAATTAAACACTCATTGTATATGATACATATTTATATAAAATATATCTAGTTTTGTTGCTATAGATTGTAAAGATTGGTGGTTAACAAGACAGGTTACCATTTATCAGCATGTTTAGAAAATTAGAATGTAGATATAGTCTTTGAAGATTTACAGGCAGTTAACTGTTGTTAGAGGGGAAGAGTTCACAAGACCTCACACCTCCCTGAAGAACTATTGGCAGTTAATGGTGGTTATAAGGGGTAGACATTTTCTTTAGTAGTATAGCCATTCCTAAGATGCCCATACTTCTATTAAAAACCCTTTGCTCATGCTCATGAAAGTAATGCTAACTAAACTCAATGAGACACCAAAAGCAAGCAAGTACACCCATGAAAGTAGAAGAGGAAAAAGGAAGGACATCATTGGTGAGAGGAGAGCAAAAGAGAGCAATGAAGATATGATCATAATATGTTATGTACATACATGAAGTAAAAAAAAATGTTTGCATCTTTTTAAAAGAGGAGAAAATGCCATTAAGAGGAGAATATCTAATGACATTTGCCTTTGAATAATTTATGTTTTATTTTGTTCATCAGTTATACTGAGCTGTATATTCAATGAACCTGAATTTAACTTTGATAAGAATATATAATTCACTATAATTCATATATCATTTAAATTTGTAAATATATGTATATTTGCAAATATAGAACTGTATAAAAACTAGCCTGCATATCCTGACATGTCAACTTGCCATTTTGTGGCCTTATAATTTGGTGCAAATAATAAATGTATATACAGTTATTTTCATTAACTTTTGGTATTCTCCAGTCTGACAACTATGCCAAACATCCCAATGGACATAAAATATAGTCCTCTGTATTAACCTGTAGTATATTAATTCAAATAATTTACTGTTAAATTAAAAGCTTTAGCACAGGTCATATTGAAAGGTAAGTGATTAAATTCCCACACTGAAGTCAGAAGTAAAAGTATAAGTAAAAATCAATGGCTGTAATGTCTGGTCTTTTTCAAATACAATTCTTCAACTGACTTTCATGTTTTAAAAGTTCATTTTGAAGATTCCTAGAAAAATTAGCAAGATTAGCTCTGGGTCTTCTGTTGATGTTAAGCTACTAATGAGGAATGTTTTAAGAGTATTCCGTCTCCTAAGTAGTAAGAAAATTACTGAATTATTAGCAATTTTACACCAATATTTGGGTTCACTTGATCTGACTGTAAAACAAAACATATTTAATTCTAATTTGACAAACCTTGAATGTTCTGAATGGATCCGTCATCAGCCTTTATGGTAAGGATCTCTCCGGGGTTAACTTGAACAAATACGATCTAGAAATAGATAAGATGTAATGGCATATATTTTTGTAAATCTATGGAAAAAAGTCATTATTACCCTTTTGAATAATATTCAGCTACCCTAATTATGGGGTTTTAAAAATGCTCAAGGAGTAGAGTGTAATCGGGTCAATGGACACTTAGGAGAAATTCAATACCTCTTAGTAAGAACAGCTCATTCCCCCTCCCAAGTAAATCTTAATAAGGTCATAAAAATAGATGCATTGAGGTGGAAAGACAGCATTGTCCTCTACATCCAGCCCCAGAACAAAACCTCTACAAACAAATAAAACCCCAGCAAAGACAATTTATCTGAAGGTGAAATTCACACATACTTGAGGCCAGTACTGGGGACAAGAAGGCCAGGTGTTATACATCTTGGGCTGAGTCATGATCTGTGGATAATTAGAATACGCTGCCATGGCATTGGGGTCCAGAAGATAATTCTCCATCTAAAATAATGTAATTTTGATTACAATTTTTTCACTTTTAGGATAAACTTGTTATTATCATAAAAATAAGACATTAGGACTCTACATAATTATAGTAAGTTTATTTTTGCTTTTTCTTTTCAGTTAGGGTCTCACTATGTACTCTGGCTAGGCTGGCCTCACTGTAGACCAGACTAGGCTTGAATTCACAGAGATCTTTTTGCCTCTGTCTCTTATGTGCTGGGATTAAAGACCATGCCTGGTTTTTATTAAATTTTATTGTTTGTAGGTTCACATTTTACATACTCCTTTCATTAATTTATGAAACATTTTACTGTATATGAAAAGTAAAATTATCTCAAAAAATTATCATACACTAATAATAAACTAGTCATTTTGACATTTCATGCATACAATCTCAATCATTTCTGTCCATGTTATTATGCTAAAGTACCATCTTTGCTTATTTTTAAATTCAAGAAGAAAAAGTTGGTCATCTCTTTACATTATATGTTACGTTAGGCCTTTTCTGGAGTCTATTAAAGGAGCAAATGCTGAAGAACACTTTCTTTCTAGAAACCAAACTTATTCATATAAATCATTGCTATTCAAACACAATACTTTCAAATATTAGATAACTGAACTTACAACTGAATGAGCATGGAGTTATGATGAATGTTAGTCTTCATTAAACCCACAATTTCAAAAAAGACTGTCAGTGTAGGTACAGAATGTTTTGATATGAAACTGTAGGTAGTAGAAACTTTATGATGATATAGGACTGGGCCTATATCATACAACTAGGCAAAGGAGTATAAAAAGCAGCTAAATCAATTCGAAGGGAAATTTTATGTAGGATAAGTTAGTGTTGGATGTCTTAAGTTATTTTCCTTTTTTAATTTTAATTTTTCTGTTTATATTAATTACAATTATTCCCTTTGTATCCCAGCTGTAGCCCCCTCCCTCATTCCCTTCCAACCTCACCCTCCCTCTATCATCTCCTCTCATGCCCCACTCCAAGTCCACTGAAAGGCCTGCGAAGAAACTAATCAATGCTAGAAAGACAAGAAAAAAAACTTTCTAAATAAGTGATCATAAAAATCAATGCTAGATTTCATAATATTTTAACCAGTTACAGTGAAAATAAAAAGAAGCAAAATTTATCTTACAGGGTACATGGGATCTCCATTGATAATTGGCACTGTTGGAGGGATTTCAGAAAGAATGGGTAGAAGTTGATGTTCCATTGACTCTAAAAGGACTGACTTTCACATTAAGTAATATTTCTAAAACAAATAAACAGAAACTTACAGATTAATTAAATGTAGTCAGAACCATGTTTTTAAATGACAAAACATGAAAAGGTACTTCTGAGAAAATACATCTTAATTTTTCTTTTTAGGAATGTTTGACATAAGTGGAATTATGTTAAGACATCATTTAAAGCAACATATAGGACAGAACCAAGCATGGAATTGACGGTTTCTGCTTGATTGTTTTCTCTTCGTTCATGTGAAGACAAAGATAGCTCATTAAACAACATGAATAAGGGTCTAATTAAACAAGTTATTGACTATTTGATCCATTTACATCTAATTCAAACAACTGATTTCTAATTTATGACATGAATTATGAATAAGATTTTAAATTCTCAATAGAGGAATATCGAATGACAGAGAAACACTTAAAGAAATGTTCAGCGTCCTTAGTCATCAGGGAAATGCAAATCAAAAGACCCTGAGATTTCACCTTACACCCATCAGAATGGCTAAGATGAAAAACTCAAGTGACAACACATGCTGGAGAGGATGTGGAGAAAGGGGAACCCTTCTCCACTGCTGGTGGGAATGTAAACTGGTACAACCACTTTGGAAATCAATCTGGTGCTTTCTCAGACAAGCACTATTAGAAATAGCGCTTCCTCAAGGTTCAGCTATACCACTCCTAGGTATATATCCAAAATGTGCTCAAGTATACAGCAAGGACATCTGCTTGACCATGTTTGTAGCAGCCTTATTTGTAATAGCCAGAACATGGAAACAGCCCAGATGCCCCACAGTTGAGGAATGCATACAGAAATTGTGGTGCATCTACACAATGGAATATTACTCAGTGATAAAAAAAACAAGGAAATCATGAAATTTGCAGGTAAATGGTGGTAACTGGAAAAGATCATCCTGAGTGAGGTATCCCAGGAGCAGAAAGACACACAGGGTATATACTCACTCATAAGTGGATATTAGAAATATAACATAGGATAAACATACTAAAATCTGTACACTGAAAGAAACTAATCAGGAAGGAGGACTCTGGCTAAGATGCTTAATCCCCATTCAGAAAGGCAAAGAGGATGGACATCGGAGGAGGGAGAAAACAGGAAACAGGACGGGAGCCTACCACAGAAGGCCTGTGAAAGGCTCTACCCTCCAGAGTATTGAGGTAGATGCTGAGACTCATCGCCAAACTTTGTGCAGAGTACAGGGAATCTTGTGAAAGAAGTAGGTGATAGTAAGACCTGGAGAGGACAGGAGCTCCACAAAGACAGCAGCAGATCCAAAAAGTCTGGGCACAGGGGTCTTTTCTGAAACTGATACTCCAGCCAAGGACCACTCATAAAGATGGCCTGGAACCCCTGCATGGAGGTAACCCATGGCAGTTCAGTGTCCAAGTGGGTCCCATAGTAATGGGGACAGGGACTGTCTCTGACATAATCTGATTGGCCTGCTCTTTGATCACCTCCCCCTGAGGGGGGAGCAGCCTTACCAGGCCACAGAAGAGGACAATGCAGCCACTCCTGATGAGACCTAATAGGCTAAGATCAGAGGGAAGGGGAGGAGGACCTCCCTTATCAGTGAACGGGAGAGGGACATGGGTGGGTAAGAAGGAGGGTAGGATTGGAAGGGGAGGAGGGGAGGAGGTACGGGGGGGTACAAAGTGAATGAACTGTAATTAATAAAAATAAAAATAAAAAACGAATGAAGCTGTTATGTAAAAAATAAATAAGGTTTTATATTATAAAGATAGCTGTAAGAACTAAGTAGTTCACATTATGTTAGAAATACAGAAAATTGCCTTAGCTGTCTTGTACTCTAAACCATACTTCTCAAATCTAATGTCAATCTTCAAACTCAAACATTTAAACTTGTATTTCTTTTTTTTTTTTTTGATTGAAACACTTCATCTATAGATGACAATGAACAAGAAAATCAACACTTAGAAGAAAAACAGGAAGGAAAATGTAGTTACTTTCAGGATAGAGAAGATGCTCAAGAGTGAACCTTTCTGGAAGGAGGCAAGTCTGGAAATGAGGGTCCTGTGACAATTCCACAGACCTTTAGCAAAAGAACACTCATAAGTCATAATTTCCTTTCCTTTCCAAGCTTTTAAAGTGGTCCTAGGATATTCCTAATTATTGAATATTTTTCCCCAAATTAAAGATAATTATCTTGAAAAGAAAACTGTTTTGGAGTCATGAAGAAATCTAGATTGTATCTAGCAGGGAAAAACACATACTTTTATGTTTGAGAGATAGTGACTAGTTGTCTCTGTAAGAGCTTTAAAATGTCTCCTCAAGAGTGCCAAGCAATTTACGTTATTTTAAATATCTCGTTTGTAATTGAGATATTGGCTTAATTTAGGGCAAAAGTCATTGCTTTGTGGTCTATTCTGATGGCTGGATCGATCAACTTAAAATACCATTTTAAATCAGAATCTCTCTCTTTTACTTCTTCAACTTTTCTCTTTCCACCTCCTTTTTCTCTTCCTCTCCTCCCTCTCCTTTCTTTTTTCTTCCTCTTCTCTCTTTCCTTCTCTTTTTTTCTTCCCATCTTTCCTCTTTCTGTGTCTTCTCTCTTTCCTTAAATCTCCTTTTGTCCTCTCTCCCCTCTCCTTTTCTCCCTGTCTTTCTCTCCGTCTCCTCTTTCTCACTCTATAATGTGCTAAGTTTTATCAGAACTTCCAATCGTTTGTACATGAGTAATCTTAAATTGATATAATTTCCTGTGTCACTGCTAAAATCTGTTGGCTTGTGGATGACATCCATATACAGATTCACAGTGGACAGGTTGAGGGAGAGAACTACTCTTCAGTAAAACTGACAAAGAAGTTTTACTTGTTCTGAAACTACAATTGGTATCAGATTTTCTAAAACAGGGTCATCTTAAAATTCTTTCCCCATAACCAAACATTATATTGTATTCAGTTCCCTTCTGGACTTTTAAATTGTTAAGCCTTATAGGTTAAGTTATCTCTATTATGTAAGGAATTGAATTCCTTTTTAGAGTATGGGTAGCGACTTATGTTTTCTTCTTATAACTTGATCATTAATTTTATTAAACAACTAACTGTTAAAATCATCTTTAGATCTTCAATTTCTTAAAGACTGTATAACTATTTTTGAGCTGGAGAGATAGCTCAGAGATTAAGAACACTGGCTGTTTTTCTAGAGGACACAGGTTTGATTCTCAACATCCGTGATGGTTTATAGCGTTTACAACCTTCTGTAACTCTAGTTCCAAGTGATCCAGTGCCCATTTCTGCCTTGCATTGGCACCAGGCCTGCAAATGGTGTACAAATAGGCAAAATATTCGCACATGCACAAAATAATGGTCATAAAATTTGTAACATACTATGACTTTATATAACCACCACCAAACTTTAAACATACTATCACAATTATTTCAATGAAGACACACTTATCCTTTTTGCATACACAAGAAAATATTTTCAAAGTGTAAAATCTCTAGAACTGAACTTTCAGTTATATCATTATTATTATAGAAAAAAAGTGGACTAAAGGTATACACTTTTCCTATCTACAATGTGGTTGGTCTAACAATTGCTTTAAATACAACTTTCATCCATTTAGGTACAAGTAAGATAAGTAAGTACACAATAGAGGACAATTTGACAAAGGCTTGGTTGCAAAGGATTTTTTTCTTCTAGTGTAGAGAATTTCAAGGGTTGCTTCATTAAATACCTCTCTCCCAAACTAAACTAATTTCCACCTCATTAAGTAGGTCAGTTAACTGCTCTGTAAGGTGAAGTACCTTTCTGAATGAAGCTTTAATAGTTTTGATTTTTTTAGGCTCTTGAAATCTCTTGGGAAAAAAAATCCCACAGATGCTTCCATTTTGCTGTTCCATTTTCCTCACAAATTCACTATTACTCTGCTACTAATTTGTACTGTAATTGGCCTATGAATGTAATGTGTTAACATGAAACAATTCTAAAGAAGAAAAATGCTGTGTCAGAAAAAGTACAAAAACTGTGAGTGGCATTTGTGCAACTACAGGTCCCTTGAAATTCATTTCATTAAATTTGCTTCATATGAACAAAATTTATTAACTGTGGCCAAAATAAGGAATTACAAAACCTGGAGAAACAACGTGCTTTTCAGAAGCAGAAAAAGCTTTAGAAATTGATCAGAAAATATTACAACAGACACATTTAGGCTTCTTAGATGTTTTTATACTTTTAATTTCAAGGTGGTTCTAGATTCATGCTTTTTCAATCTCAGAAGTTCAGAAACTGTTACTAAAAAGTACTGGTGCCCTATCTCAGTCAGCAATAAAGCATTAAAAAAAACTCACTATAGGGTTTCCTAGTAATTGGAACAGGGACTGTCTCTGACATGAACTCAGTGGCTGGCCCTTTGATCACCTCCCCCTGAGAGGGGGAGCAGCCTTACCAGGCCACAGAAGAGGACATTGCAGCCAGTCCTCCTGAGACCTGATAAGCTAGGGTCAGATGGAAGGGGAGGAAGACCTCCCCTATCAGTGGACTTGGAAAGGGGCATGGGAGGAAATGAGGGAGGAAGGGGGCTACAGCTCGGATACAAAGCAAATAAAATGTAATTAATGTAAAAAAATAAAAATTTAATGAAAAAAAACCTCATTACATAAACATTGAAGCTAAGCTATGTGACTGGGCACATTTATCATAAACATCCAACGTAGCAAAAGGAAGGATTGCAAGAAATCATTCTGCTCTGGGAATTTTTTATAGTTCAATTAAGTGAATGATTCGACAGAAATATCCACGGTTATTATATTGTAAGAAAATAAGGATATTTCAAATAGGCAGCTTTGATATCTGTCGCTGTGTCTGCTCCAACAACTAGAATGCTTGCGAAGTTACCTATGTATGTGTTCTACTAGTCCACGTGTGAGCCATTTCAAAGAGAATACATGAACCTTAGACATTATTTTCAACTTTTATTGAAAAGCAGAAAAAAAAAGTACCATA